TAAATCTGACCCTTTATCTGACCACAGGGGGGGATTTAAAATGACAACTTTTTCACAAAAAATTAACTTTTTCAACTTAACTTTTGAAAGTGTTCCGGAAAGTCAGACACTTTTATATATATCTTAAATTAAAGCTAATGTAAATACTTTATAATGGTAAAAAAAAATTTCGGACTTTATTTTTTTTCATGGTGAAAACAGACATCAAAGTTAATAAAAAAAATACGATTTTTGTAAAAATTCTTTTTTATATTTTTAACTTTATAATGCTATAACTAATTGAAAAGTGTTTGGATCAACATAATTTTTTTTTGAGAAATAATATTTTTTAATATTCCCTTTTTGACATTTGACATACTTTATCTTAATCAGGATATTAATAAGGAACTAGCAGATCATGTAGCTTTTGTAATAATCCACTAATTTTTTAAAATAAAATACTATCTAAATATTTCCATCGAAGCGTTTTTTTTTATAGTGATTTTAATCACTGCCAGATAATATTATACTTGATCCAACTATGCCGCGACCCCCCTGTGCTGGGTTTTTTTATTTGTAATTTATTTTAACAACTTAGCCTAAGTAAATATCTAACTGATGACGGTTTTATGCAACACCTTACTTTTATAGATGAACATTTTGTTTAACCTCCAATTAAAATAATTTTATTTTATTTTTATTTAAATACGTTATACTTTTTAAAAAATTGATTTTAGATAATTTTAGCGTAATAACCTTAAAATTACATTCTATAGTTTTATATTTGAAAACTATATTTTTTTTAAATATTACGTATAATTATTTATATTAAATGTTGTTATAGTAGGAAAATTAAGTTATACATCTATAAAAATAATTTCATTAAAGTTGTATTGTGTTTGTTACACTATACATTAGTTTTGGTTATTATTAATGTCTGCAATTCATATGAAAAATGGTTGGATGAATTTGTTATTAATAAAGTTAATTAAAGTGTTTTGATATTTTTGTATTTCAATTAAAGCATATTTTAAAACAGTAAAAAATGAAAGTTATTAACTACTCTTTATTAAAATAAACTTCATAATGATGGTTTTTGGTTTTGTATATTTACAATCTATTACTAAAAATGTATGTGAATTTACATGATGATTTTTATAACTATTTATATGAAATATTTATTTCTTGTGAAAAAACATTTTAGTAACTTTGTGGATATATCCATTTTGATCAGAATACCAAATGGAAAAACATATGCAACTAACAAAAGCAAAAAAAATTATAATTTCAAGAGAAATTGAGTGGCTAGCATTAAAAGAATTACTCTGTACATGAAATTTTATTTGATAAAATTGAATCACAGCAATGTAAGACTAATGAGCTTCACACATGAATTGTAATTTAAAACCAGTATACATTCAATGAAAGTCTATGAAATATCTTTATTTTTAGCACAGAAAATAAGAAAAGAATTGTTAAATCTCAATATTAGAAAGAAAAATACTAAGCTATAATCTATATATGTCATTATGTTGTCTATCTTGATATCATCTTATTATAAAATATTTAGATTTGCATTAAATTATCATCATAAATACGTAAGCCATGAAAATACTTGAAACACAAACAAAAAAGAACATTTGCTTTTACATTGAATTGATTTTTTCCCAATGCCATGTATAAAAACATAGGAAATTATTATCATGACAATGTGTAAATAAAATATATTATTTACAACAGTAAAAAAAAGAATGGTTTTTTTATGAAAATTTATACAATAAGTTTATTTTTTAATAGTTAAATATAGCTAATTTATTTTAATATTTTTAATAAAAAACAAATTTAATGAATTAATGTACATTTTTTTATTAAATATAATTTTTCATACAAAATATATAAACTTATGTTTACTAAACAAAAATTAATAAGTATTTTAGAGCAGTTCTTTATCTTAGTTTTAGACAAATATTANACTTATGTTTACTAAACAAAAATTAATAAGTATTTTAGAGCAGTTCTTTATCTTAGTTTTAGACAAATATTAAAACAAAAAATAAGACATTTTTAAAAGTACATGTACTCATACTAGGTAAATAAAATAATTTAATGTGTTTAAAATAATAATTAATGTATAAGATTCACTTAGCAACTAAATGGTAAAAAAAAATTGTTATAATTAAATAAGATAACTTGATTTTATCATAATTATTGTTTAACTATCATTAAAATAACCATGATTGTTAATAGAGGAAGATAGAGAATTTTGAGCTAAATAGTCCATTATAATGTTTAATGTAAAGAAACATAATACAATAAATCCCAAATTATATTTTTATAATAATTTTTTAGGGTAAAATTACTACCTTATTAATAAATTTAAAACTTTTTGTTTTATACACAAATAAATTTAAAAAAATTGAATTATTCTAAAGTTACACTAATTGATTAAAACCTAATCAAAAATCAAAGCCGGGCAAGTTAGTAACTTTTCAAACTAGTTTAAGTTAAATAACTTTAAAATGAAAACTAAGTTAGAATAGAATTTAATTTCTGAAATTTTCCAAATTTTTAACTTACTTAGCTAGAAGTTGAAAATAGTAACTTAAATTAGAGTAAAAATTAGAAGTTAGTTTTTTTTCATAGTTTAAAATATAAATTTAAAAACTTTTATATTAGAATTATTATAAGTATTGGCTGAATCAGCATCAACAGAAACACTTATTTCTATTTTGATGAAAATCTTGCGTAAAAGAGATGTGATTTGCAAAATGTGTACTGACCTAACTGTTTAAAATAAAGAAAAAATATATGTATGGATCATACATTTAATACTAGAGAAGTTCCGTGTAGTAAATACATTCACTAATCAAGTACCAAGTAAAAAATGGTTACAGACAGAGTGCCGGGTAAATTTAGGATAGACATTTTAATTTTAATATTATATTAATGAAACAAAAAGGTTAAAACATTAACTTTACAATATTATCTTCTGTCGAGTGATTATGTTAATTATGTTAATACTCATCTCGTGCATGAGAGGCCTTTCCACGGCTCTAAAATAATCAAATGTTGCAAAAATATTAATTATATAAGTAAACAGTTAAATCCTCCATTAACACCATCATAAAAAATTGGTATATCAAAAATTTTATGAATATAAAATACTCAATATTAGTTATTAACACATTGCAACTAGTTGCTTTAATTTTTAACGATTTATTCTACACATTCAGTTCATTAGTTAAGTGAATAAGTTATTGAGTATTAAAACTAGTAAGATAAGTTAACTTAAGTTTAAATTTTTAACTAGTGCCCAGCTTTTCAACAATATAGATTAATTATAGAACATAATGATATAAATTTTCATTTTAATTTCCTCCATGTCTCCTTACTTATTAATCATTCAATGAACTCTCATCACTTAGGAACGCCACAAGATGACAATACTGTCCTGTATAGTGAACAACAAAACTATGCCCTCAAGATTTTTAAATCAAGAAACGGATTAAGTTATTACATTATACTGGAAGTACCACCACTTCTGACATTAACCTTCAGCAAGTAAATTCAAAACATAGCCGTATTTTTAAAATTTAATTGAGATACTAGAAAATTACCATATGCCTTTTTGTAAATATTGATAATTATATTTATTTGATAGTAAATGATAAATCCAAAATAAAAGTTTTCCCAATTTACACTATTGTTATGACGTTAATTTGATTGTAACATTTGTATACAATACATTTTTTTATAAGCCATTTATTTAATTTTCAGTAATCAAGAATTAAAATATCATTGGATTATTAGGATCCATTATGTAAACAATACAAAAATACAATTTTTATATTTTTGATAGAATATTTGAAATTAATAATTTTCTTTCTTTTATTAAGGAAATTTCAAAATTAACACTTCTCTTAAAATAATTGACATACTAGTAACTCAGATCCTATTACTGTACCATGTATACGGCCCTGACCTAAGATTAAAATTTGATCAGTTTTTTTAATAAAAAGAAAAGGTAGTGATTTTGTATACTTACTTCTACCAAAAAATTAGTTTGAGACCCCATCAATAAAAATTAATTTATGTCTTTTTCATTTAAATTAGAAATATTATATATTCTAATAAAATAATTAATAGAAAAAAAATACAGTAATTTTTTTTAATACTAATTAATATATCTATACTTCAATTTTCTTTTAAGTCAAAAGATTTTTAATTATTGCTTTATAACAACTAATTTCTGCTGAAAATTTTTTTTAATGATCTTATTAAAATCTGAAAAAATAAAAAGAGAAGTAAATTGATGTATAATTCATTTTTTGGTGTATAAGTATTAATAATTACCTAGATTTTCATAGATACTTTATTAATAATTAATAAATCATTTATTATTATAAATTTCATATCCAAATGTTAATTAGTTCTGATGTACCCCAGTCTCATTTAAAAATAATAATTGAGGTTAAACCGTGCTAAGTCTTTGATAGGCAATTTTTAATTTTTATTAGCAACAAATATATATTGAACATGTTGGAATAATCTATTTTCATAATAAGACAACTGAACTAAAGCTTTTTCTGGTTAATAATAACATGTGTCAATAAATACCAATATAAAATAATTAATAGTCTCCATCACACAAGCACTAAAAATCTGATGTATTTTTATGATCTAAGGCTGTTAAGATTTCATAATACTTTATATACATATCCTGGAAATAAAATTAATTATTTATTAAAATAAGATTATTTTTAATTCAGTGCTTGAAATATGACTATAAATAAATGCTTACCTTAAATTAAATGAGAAATAGAAATATGTTCTTCTAATCGAATATAAAATTCCATAATGAATTGTTTCATTGATATGTATACAAATAAATATGTAAGCATCTTATGAATAAATTTAAATAGAACTTATTAATTGTCAACGCAGTAATTTCTAATTATGAATAATACATAACTTTTCAATTAAACACACTTTTCAAACTGTGTACACAACCATGTGACAGATCATTGTTTACAAGCGACGATCTAATATAGTCATTCATTGTTTGCATAAGTTTGTAACAACTTGTTAACTGATAAAAATGGTTTGAAATCGTTGTCAATGGTGATGGTTGAAAGATGTTTTCACCATCAGATCGTCTGATTACATGTGACGGCCTATTTTCTTCTTTGTTACTCTGTGATCCCCTGGAGCTGGAACGTAGAGTAAGTCTAATCTCTTTTACACGCCTAGCCTACATAATTACACAATTTACACAGTTACCCGTTGTAAGGCATTGTGCTTAACAATTTTTATACTTGAACAAGTCATAAAATTACTTTTATATGACTCAAAAATGTCAACTAGCTGTTTGACGTGACCTGGTCGGATTTGACAGTATATGTCTGAAAGAGTTGTTAAAAAAATTGTTCAAAATCTGAATCACACAATGTATTGTATGTAATGAACAAAACTGTAATTATACAAAAAAATAAATAATAAGATACTAAAATAATAATGATATACAAAAATATATTATTTTAAGCAAATATTTGATAGACAAAAATAATATAATATTGAGAGAAAATCACACATTAAATTTAACACATTTGAAGTTTACTTAGAAGTAATAAATTAATAGTGATTTATTTATTTTGAGTAAATATCTATATTTTTTATCACTATACTTTTTCATAATAATTATGGATAATGTTATGAATACTTAACTTAGTTTTATTATTGTTCTATAATTATAATAACAGATAATCATAATCGAGGTAGGCCTAAAAGAATTTGTTTATAAAGTATTTTTCGGTGTTGCAAAATCGGAAAGTGGGCCGACTGCGACTGTTGTAATTCAGAGCATCGTTAGTCATTTGACAACTATTGTGCGATTACTATTATTTTAATTTTTTTTTTATAAAAATAAAGTTAGAGCAGTTTATCTAATATAATCCGTCGTAACTATTGTCGTTGAAAAGTGTTGGTTAGAGTTTGTTATAAAGACCTTAAAAAATAGTATATTTTCGTCTGACCTTGTCAAAGCGGCCGATTCCCAGGTAGCCGTTATTATTATTGTTCACTCGCTGCCATATAATATACGGCGGCCCCGGACCATCTTATCGCGGTCATTTTTACAACAATAGCAAAAATAATAACACTTGTTTTCTACTGTAGTAGCAAAATTGACCGTACACGGAGATATTGTTTATCTCCGCTACTATAATAACATACAATTGATTACTTAGTTTTGTAAATAAACATAATATTCACGGTCAATATGTCGGGGAAATCATTAACACAAATGAATTGCGCTGAATTACGTCACGAATGCGTTTTTAGACAGCTACGCGACGAAACATGATAATTATGCTAAACCCGAAGTGGAGTTTTTAGACAACTCCACGAACCGTATCTGCGAACTCGACACGAATAATCAGCGGCCCGGAGTAGCCTTTTTACTGGAGGAACATCCGGTGAACCTCGCGCTACGCACATCAGACGAAGAATCTAATGTCGATCAACCAGGGGAAATTACGCGCGCAAGCGGTCAACAAGACGCGCTATACGTTGAGAATGTATACGTTGTCCGCTCGATAGTGCACGCAGCAGAACAAGTCGGGGTGATCCGACAGAACATTCGCGACATTTCTAATAACGCGCAGATCGAGACACGGATGACTAAATTAGAAAGGTCGCTGTCGCATATGTCAATGGAACAGCGACAGATTTCCAACATGCTTGAGGGATCAGTCAAAATATGCTGCAGTCCCCACACGTTGCTGTCCAACCGACTATTTGTCAAGTTAACGTCGAACGAAGCGATAGTCGACGATCGGAAGCACATCGCGTTACATTCGGTCCATCGGAAGCGACGGACCCGACGCGACACTATGCAACACTACACGAGCGCCTCGCGGACATAGAAGTGCAAGAAGCCCGCAAACTGAGACAGTCGTAGTCAAAATTCCATTAGTTGTAATTAAAATTTTAATAAAATAAAAAATGTGTACAGAAATCCATAATAATTATTTAATTAATATAAAATTTACCATGTCAGAAATATTTATTAATGATACTTTTAAAAAAAGGCACTAGTATTGAATTTACTCAATACAGACAAAAAGAATGAACCAATAAGATTATACTTATTAGTGTCATTATGCTATCTTAACTACATGATATGTTAAGTAGAAAAAATAATACATAATAAATGTATTCATAAAAAATTATTAATAAACCTAAATAAATTATTTTGATTAGACTGACCGTGTAAATTAATTTAAAAACCAAACAAAATTAGTGTTTTTTTGTCTAAGCGTTTTCTTAATAGGATTCCTAATTCATTACTTATATCCAGGGCTCGTAAGTTCATGCATTTGCATGTTTTTCTTGCAACACAGGAAAACATGCTAACTGAGATAGAAATACGTTTCA